TTATATTAGCTAGATTTGTGAATTACGATAGAAGTGTCGATTCATATCTGAAACAAGTTGAATTCTTCTTTACACATTTGGCAAACTTTCTGAATAATGTTATTGAATATTGATTGACTTTTATTCAGTAATACAAACTGATTAATTCAGCAGAAAATAGATTTTATTTCAGATCTGAAAATAATACAAATGTTGAATTGTGGAGTATCAAATTTTACCTAGTTAGATATGAATGCATAATCCCTATTCATAATATTTTTGGCTGATTTATTTCATTTATATATTGAATCTCAAATTGACAAGACTTTCACAAATATTTAGCTGTAATTCCTTTAAATTGTAAATATAATATATAATTAAAATTCAGAAAATATGCGAATTTTGATAAAATTGAAATTTTGGCAAATGTCTAACAATTTTTTGAGGAAAATTTTAATGAAATATATAGAAAAGATGGTGCAAATATGGCAATAATGTCAAATTGTATAGTAGAAATTGATTGATGATTTATTTATGCCAAATTATATATCAAATTATATAATAAAAATTGATTGCTGATTTATTTATGTCATTAATATGTCAAATTATTTATTTTTTTGATGATGTTACATGAGTGACATTATGTCATATAAATATTGTTCAATTAGTGTTTCATAAATCTCTTTTGAGAGAAGAATTTCTTTCTTTTTGAATTTTTTTTGATAAAATCTTGAATTGTTTCCCTTTCACAAATTTTTTTTTTCACTTTTTCCTTAACTTAGTGATTCATTGTTTATAGGTAATTTGAAATTAATTTTTATAAAAAAAATTTTTTGTTAATATCTATAATAACTATTGTTTAAAATTTATAAAAATTTTAATCAAGAATATACCAAGAATTAATTAGTAAACATTCCTATATAAATGTCTTTAAAAAATCCAAAATTAAATGAGAATTACAAATAAATAAATTATGGATCTAGAAAAATAGCTTAATATATTATCAAAATTTAATTAAACCATAACGTACATTATTTGAATCTACCATCTCATCCAGCTCCATAACGAATCTCGAAGCTTACGATAATCTAAATTTCTTCCAATAATCACCAATTTATCTTCGACCTTTTCAATTGAGACGCTATCCGAGATGGGAATGTGCTGCAAATCGTATAATTCTTGAACTCCCTGTAAAATGACTCGTGATCCTGAATCATGAATTGTTATTACGCCTTTCAGACGTAAAATTATAATTTCATTTTCGATAGTATCATCTGAGGTTTTTTCTGTGGCAAGGGAGTTTGAATCCAATACAGGGACCATTTTATCCCATAGCAGGCATTGAATCCAATCCTCTAATTTTTTCAGATCTATCGGCTTTACCGGAAATTCTGTCAGACAAATAGTTTTCACATCCTTTTCGAAATGAATAATTTAGAAACCATAGCCATACATCGTGCAGACGTGACATAACTCTTTAATAACTACATACCTCTTCAATGTGATGATGATCGCTTTCAATGAGTGGCGGTGTATCGAATAACGAAGAAGCATAATCCTTAGAATCGAATGCGTGAATATCTAAAATAAAATCCAAAGGAACTCTTCAAAAGAAAAAAAATATGCATGTAGTTATTTGAATCGTGTATAAATATTGAGAAGACGTGAATACCTTGATTTTTCGGTTCTAAGAATACTTGCAGCTGAGTTAATTCCTCTTTAAAAGTAAATTATTTCATCAAATACTCTTCAATTCAATTTTCTCAAAGATTCGTTTCATGCTTTTCTCAAATACCTCATTTTTTCTTGTACAGAGTCTAGGGTAGATGGCGTAACAAGATCTATTTTATTGATTATGATCCTATCAGATATGGCTATTTGTCTAAAAATGATTAAAATACAACAATTGGCAGTGTTTGTATATATTATATTATTCCGCTTGTATTGTAAAAGCGTGATTAATTATACTTACTTTATAGCTTCATTGGTAGATCCATCTTTCTTTTTTTCCGAAATATACTTTAAATAAGCATTATAATTATTAATTTGACATGAATAATTGACAATAAATTTTAAATTTTCTTGTAAAATAAGGACGACGAGAATAAATAATTACCTTTTGAATATATTTCGCGTCAACAATTGTGACAACACCGTCCAAATATATATCACTACCTAAATCATCGTCCAACCAAAAAATTGATATAATTGGACCTAAAAAAAAAAAAAAAACGAAATTCCCACAATATTAGATGATAATAAGAGAAAAATTCAATAAGACTAAAGGTTATACCTGGATCAGCAAGGCCCGTAGTTTCCAACAAAATATAATCAAATTTTCCTTTCTTTTGCATTAAATTTTCTATGGCCTTTACACCGTTGTCCCTAATATTTGAATAAATCGATTAAGTGTGAAAATCAACAATCCAAAAATTAACGTAACTAAAAAGAATAATAAGATGTGAATTAACTTTATTGAACAACACAAGCATCCGTTCTTTAATTCTAGCCACTCTTCAAATAAATCACCCCCTTGGGCAATTGACAAAGATTTTTCGATTTCGTTACCTATTTCAGATAATCGTAACAATAAATTATATTAAACATTATCCAAAAGTATAAATATTGCAAAATAGTTACTTTCGCCAAATTCATTTAAAATCACGGCAATTCTTTTGCCATGGTTCTCGGTTAAGATATAATTTAGTAAGGTGGTTTTCCCCGAACCGAGATAGCCTCAAAGATAAAGATAATGGCACGCAAGTTATTAAATGCCAATAAAAAGTATTCAAAGATCGAACTAAATTACCTGTGACAATTGTTATAGGAACTTTCAAATCAGACACATTAATTCTATTGCTGAAGGACACACATTAATCATGGTAATTATTCATAGCTTCCATCATGCAGAAAAATGCTTTAGTATTTACGTCACCGCTTCTTCTGAAGGAATTGCAACTAATTCTGGTATTTCCGAATCGACATCCATGTTAAATGATAGATCGCTTATAATTCGAATTTTATATAAGAGGCGGATCAGAAACCAAAGAAAGATATGCTGTACGGATTTTTGAAATTATATCCTATTAATAGTAATAAACAATAGAAACAGAAACCCGCAATAACACCATCACAAGTGTAAAGGCTCGGGCTATGCTCCAAGTTTAGTTATTTGAGTTTTATTTGTTTTTATATTTTAAAATTATATTTAATTTTTATATTTTTTTTTAGTTTTAACCATAACCGGTATTAGATGTGAGCTTTTTATTAAGAATATCTGATGGATAATTAAATTCTTGAGCATTACATCAATTAATCATCTCATACAAATTATATATTTCTGTATGCATGCAGATTAATGATAACTTATTACAATATATTCTAGCTAGATTTACTACTACTTCTTAAGTGAACAAATTTAACTAGGAACCAAATAATTAATACATAATTATTAATAATATAGGTTAGGTTAGTATTGAGCTTGTTAATTTTTGGGTTTGTTGTTTCACTAAATTGGATTTTTTCATATGTATTAATAGGATTTGTTATATCCTTTAATATTTTCAAATATTATTTACTCAGATCTTAAAAGAAAACATTGTCTTCTTTGTTATTATCTATAACATCAGATCAATTCATATTAACTAATTTTCAATTAAGCAGAACATCAGATTGAAATATTTTAAGCTAGAAAAGTAAGAGTTTTGAAGTCTATCAAAATAGAAAGATCTTAAATATTTATGATAGATTAGATCAAAAACCTTTTTTTATATAAATTTTTCAATAATATGACTATAAATCTTAATCTCTAATTGTTGAAAGATCAGAAATTCCATCTTTATATAATCTAATCTAATTTAATTTTATTTTAAATAATTGAGTATAACTTTTACAAGATAATTGATAAATCTGATTAAAAGTAATTTTTTGATTTTTAATTCTTAAGTAATATTGAATTACAGATTTTGTGATTGCAATTTGAAAGCATTATTTTCATATTGTAAATCTATAGATTTATATTTAATTTTTATATCTAAATAGTTTTTATATAAAGAAAAATTAATTATTATAATTTTAATTAATTTTAAAATATTAAAAAGATTTAAGTTATACTTTGAACTTAATTATATTTTATATTTAGTTATTTAAGTTTTATTTTTTTAATTTAAAGAAATAATTTATAATAAATATTATTTTTATTTACATTTTAATTAATTTTAAAATTGTATAAAAACTTGAACTATATTAAGTTTAGTTATTTGAATTTTACTTTTTTAAAAATTTTTAAAATTTCATTATTTTTATATTTTTGTATTGTAATAAAATAGTTTCTAATATTATTGTATAATTATTTTTAGCCATAATTTTCATTTTATTTCTATTTTTATCTATTTATTTAGAATTATTTCTTTAATAT